AAGACTTCTCTAACTGCTGATGAGAAAAGGTATTTAGCAGTTTATATTTACTAAAATAATTGCATTTCCATGTTGTGTGTACTGTGGGAGACCGGATATAGCAAATGCAGGGTCCTGGGTTTAGTAACACTTTAAGGTCAACGTAAAGTGGTAGTAAAGTCACTTTCTATATTTTTACCTACAGGTAAGCTTATAATAAAGCTTACCTGTAGTTAAAATGAGTTTCTCCTACATGTTCACCGTTTAGAAGATATTCTACAGAGCAGCAGCATCCAATGACAATACCGGTGGATTCGCACTGAAAGAACGGCATACTACCACTTTAGGGTAGACAAACTTATCAATGTGTGTCAATGTATTAACCACTTGATCCACAGCATCTGTATATTCCCTATGAGCAGAGCAATTTTTGCATTTTGGAAATGTGCCTATTGCCTATATAAGATGCTGAATACATACTACTTTACATACTGTAGCATTGCATATAAAAAAAGTTTTCTCATTTTGAACATTTAAATGTATGTTTCTGCGGGAAACAAATTTACATTATTTATAAATTAAACACAGCTTTTTTTATTGTATGCATTATTTCTCTATGTAACACTATAAAAACAAATTAGGAACAAAACAAAGAAAAAAAGTTTACATACAACATTAAAAAAAAATATAAATGAAAAAATTTAAAAAGTTAAGTGGACAAGTCTTTGATCTGCTTATAAGCACTACAACAAATACATGTACTGTAGAAATGCTAATAAAATGCTATCACTCCTACACACTTCTAAAAATGCTATTACCAACGTTTTGTATCCAGCATTTTCTATTATATGTGTTATTTCTATATGCAACACTATAAAAACAAACAAATTAGGAACAAAACAAAACAAAAAGGTTTACATACAACATTCAAAAATATAAATAAAACAATTTAAAAAGTTAAGTGGACAAGTCTTTGATCTGCTCATAAGCACTACAACAAATACATGTACTGTAAAAATGCTAATAAAATGCTAACGCTCCTAAATGCTACTAAAAACGCTATTACCAACATTTTTTTATCCAGCATTTTCTATTATGTGTGTTATTTCTCTATGCAACAGTATGAAAAAAATTTGGAACAAAACAAAACAAAAAAGTTTACATACAACATTCAAAAATATAAATAAAAAAATGTTAAGTTATTTACGCTATTACCAACATTTTTTGAGCTTAAAAAAATGCTAGTGTGCATGGAGTCTTACAATAATAAAATGAACACAGAGAGGGGTCTGGTTTCACATTGGTTCCTCTGACTAAACATTCTTTTTCTTCTTTTTATTGTTTTTTTTTTTTTATCAAGGAACATACACTGAACAAAAACATGTACTTCTTCAAGCACTAACTCACTCAGAGACATCTCAGTGAAAAGCCTAACAAGTTGGCATTCAGAGTTTCAGCCTTCAATCATAACATACAGTAAAACAATAAAGAAACATAAAACAGGTGCTGTTGTTCATGACCATCAAGTTAAGACAATAAGAAATATCATCCCTAGTACCTGAGCCCCCCCAAAAAAGAAATCATAAATCAGGCTCCAAGACGGACTTAAATAAAGCAGAGGGGTCAGGTGTCGGTAGCTGTTGAAGGTTCTACTAACCATTCTGCCCAGACTCTATCATATTTTTTAGGACACCCTCTATGCAGATACAGCCACAGCGCCAGCACTCTGGAAGAGAGGTTAATTTTTTGCAACCTGTAAAGGGTAAGGTAGGTGCTATGGACAATTTTAAATTGTATGAGGAGGTCTCTCAAGGACATCAGTATTTTAAAGGGAAATTCCCATACATCATCCTGATCCTCAGAGTCCAACCCCAAAGCATCGCAGGCCCAACGGTAATGAAGCAATGACAAATCAGGGGAGGACACTCGAAGAAGGTGAGTATTTAGGATTGAGGTAGGTTTTTTCGTACAATCGTGTTTTAATTATTTCCACCAATTCTGAGTTTTGTAGCTTTGAGTGGAGCAGTAGGGAACTGGCCCCTGAAAGCATGGGGCAATTGCCAGTATCTAAAAATGTAAGAAGAGGGGACATTGTGATGGGGCAAGAAATAATCTGAGGGGCGCAGGGACAAATTTGAGATCACATCCACTACAGTTTTGATGTTAAGCTTGGCCCCACGCTATTGGATCAGGAAGCTGGTAAAAATGTGGCAAAGAGGTTATTCCATAGAGGGGTGAAAGAATAGCATTAAAATCACCCATAAGCAGAAACTTTGCAGGGAAGTAAGGGGTAATCCTCTCCAGAATATCATAGAGCAAGGTAACTTGAAATGGTGGAGGAACATAAATACTGGAAAATACATAGTGTTGATTGCGAATTGCGAGCACTAGAATAACATATTTATCTTGAGGGTCCGTATGGACTGCCTCAGTGACACAGTGGAGTGACTTACTTATCAGAATTGAGACACCTCTAGCATATGTGGAGTATGAGGTGTGAAAGGCCCTCTGAAACCAAGGTTTCTTCAGGGCCATCAGCTTGCTGCCCACCAAATGCAACCCCCCCAAACACAAGAGAGGGAAGTGGGAAGTGGCCTGTACCCAGGACAGGAAAATTAACTGGGAGCAGATCTCGATCCGCTGCCAGTAACAATGTGCGATGCACAAAAGTTCAAACGTCCATCTAAACTCTAAATAGTCAAAAAGGAAAAGAGTTAACAAGATCAGGTGGGGCAATCAAAGAGTAGAAAATAAGGCATCAGGGCTGCAATAGTGGGGTTCCATATCAGACAGGATGTTCAAGAGCCTGGAAAGGATCTAGGTGAGCCATGGAACAAGGCTCAGAAAGAAGAGTGTAGTGAAGCAACCCATTCCACAAATAGGTGAGTAAACAAGGTAGAGGTACAAACAATGGGGCCATTATGGCCATTTACTTACTGTAAGACTTAGCCTGAAGATCAAATAGGTAGTGCAATGAGCTCCTGCAGGACTCTAACGGGTATTCAGCCAGGACATGGCCACCTCAGGAGATTCGAAGAAATGAGTGTTGTCACCGTCCACCACACAGAGCTTGCTGGGGTACAAGAGGAAGAATTTGAGACCCTCATCGTGGAGGCATTTATGGACCACTGTAAAAGATCTGTGGCGCTGCTGGATTTTCAGAGAGTAGTCGGGCACAGATCTCACTTGGCCTTGGCCGCTTGTAGGATCTTATCTTGTTCCTGGTAGTTGAGAAACTGGAGCAGGAAAGGTCTCAGCGGTGCGCCCAGGATTGGAGGCATTGGGGGGAACCCGATGAGCCCTCTCCACCATAATGGTGGGTGGCATGACGGGAAGGTCTAGCAGGATAGTAAGGAAGGCCTCCTTCCTAGGATGCGGATATTATTTCATTGCCAGTTGCCTTCTCCTGAGTGCCTTCACCTGTAATTGTAGGGTATGTAGCTCCCGAGAGTCCATCCTGATGGAATCTTCCAACTGGGATATGCGTTCCTCCACCTCAGTCACATGCGACCTAAACTTGTCTAGGTCGTGGTGGATCAGGCTGATGTCGGTCACCAGGTAGTCTATTTTAACATTAAGGGTTTCCTTACAGGAGTGGATTGCTTCCATGGTGTCCACAGTGGTAAGGCTGGCTCCATCACCCGCCTCTGATATGGCCAAAACAGGAGAGCTCCTGTTCAAGATGGCCACCACCAGGGCAGGGAGTACTTTCGGCAGGACAAGAGGAGCTCAGCCTTCTGGGGGACAGCAGAGGAGCCTGTGGAGTGCCAAGGTGTTTTCTGGAGTGTCGGTTAGAGAGCTCAGGTTAGGTAGGTAGAAGCCTGCAGGGTATAAAGGATAAGATCAGGATTAGAGCCCAAGAGCCACACATCTGCTAGGTCTCACATTCTGGCCACACTCCCCCATCTGCCAGTTTTTAATGTATAGCCCGTCACCACTCTATGTGCTAGAGCCGGCAGGCATGTTTCAGTCTGTGGAAACGGCTGTCAGACTAAGTGGATTCCCGCCCCTACGTGTAAGTGTTTCATCACACCAAGGACACCATCAGGAGACGTGGCCTACACCACTCAGTCCTTACTATAGGTACTATATGTACTATATGTACCAATTAGTCCACTGCTATTGGTTAAAGTACAGGTCTCCATTTATAATATATCAAGCCGCGCTATATATGAGTAGACTGTTATTCCAAAAACCTAATGTGTTATAATGTGTGCACAACATATGATATTAATAATGCATCAGACCAAATTGTGAAATGACCTCACAGCCATGTCCAACAAACTTGTAAAAAGGTGCACAAAGGTGTATAATGTCCAAATAAATAACCAATAAACCAAAGTCCACACGTGTGAAATTCTTTGCTTCCAAGTGCTTTCTTCCATCTGATTAGAAAACCGTCACCCTTGAAGCCACAAGAGCAGTGATTTGAAGACTGCCGCCTATGGTTAAATTACATGCTTACCAAATAAGGATGATCTTCTAGTTAAAAAAAGGTCATATAAGCTTGTAGATCTCAATTCCAATGGCATTCGCCACATCGCTGGGAGCATGCACCCAAAAGGACCAGTAACCTTAAGATGACATCTCATATACCTCCATCTCTTCCATGCTCATGTGAGAACATAGAAATAAAACGCTTCCACAGTATAAAATCTCTTACAAGGATTATTTAAAATGAAGAATCACACTTAAAATATTGTAATTAAAATTGCACAAATAAAATTCTTAAAGCCGGAAAGACTCACGATCCACTGCACTTCCGGGAACGTAGGAATGTGATGACATCATCAGCACGTGGCTCTCCCTTGCACATTTCGTCATACATCACATCGTCTGTATATTAGAACTTGTGATAAACTGTGATAAATATCTCATCTGTGATAAATATCTCATAGTAAAGTCTGTTGTTTACACTTGAATATTAATAGATTCTTCACACAAGCGCAGTTTCTGAATATTGTACAGGTCTCTATTTTCTGTCAAAACCCAATATAAACCAGCAGGTGATTCTTTACAAATTCAAAAAGAAATATCACATTTAAAATACAAATAAAATAAAATAAAAATAAAACTTTATACTTTATTTAACGTTATCACCATCTTGTGGCCATTTGTTAAACTTACACTTAAAAGGATGACAAATCCCTCTAAACAATATGAATGACCAAAAAATTCCTTTAAACTATCATTAAAAAAAACTAGAGAACTGGAAAGTTTTTAATAACCAAAATTTAAATTCTAGGTATATTAAAAATCTACTATGAAACAGTTAAGATCAATATCTATATTCGTTCCTTGTGGAGTTAAAGTTTCGAATTCATATATCCAGCGCATCTCATTCTGCGAGACTGCCCTTCTAAAATTAGATCCCCTCCAATGTAGTTCCATCTATCCTACAGAACACAAGCAAACTTGGCTCTCTGTTATATAAAGGGATGGAAGTGTCTTGAAACAATGTGGTTCTTGTACCCTTTGCGTATAATATTCATGTGCTTCTTAACCCTAACTGAAAGTTTTCTAGTGGTTTTTCCCACATGCTGTAACTTACATGGACATTCTAACACATATGTTATGTATGTACTATCATGGGTGTATTTACCACAAGGCAAACAAGGCATTTGCCTAGGGCGGCATTTTTTAGGGGGGCAGCACTGCTCCCTGGAAGAAGGGACATATGCAGCATGGGGACCAGGTGGGTCTAAGAGAGGCGGCAGGCTGTTTGTATGCAGAGCCCAACTGTCGTTCCCGGGGATGTCCAGTGCTGTTGTCAGGAATGGACTTGTCAGTGGTGGTGGGACTCACCTGCCTTTTGGGCTGCAGTACCAGGGCTGGCCAGCGGGTGCTCTCAGCAACCAGAGGCTCACTCCTGCAATGAGCCATCACCTGAAGCTGATTACAACAGGTGTATTTAAGGAATGGCCAGGCCTGTGATCAGGGCCTTGGTGTATGTTTCCCATGGGCCCCTGTACCTGCATCCTGTCTGCTTCCTGCCTGATCCTGATCCTGCTTCGATCCCTGACTCTGCATGAACTCCGCCTGTCCTGACCTCGGCTATTCCTGACTACTCTTCCGCCTGCTCCTTGTGCCCTGCCTGCCCGTTTGCTACCGACCTGGCCTGCCTGACTACGCTTAGTATTGTTTCTATTGTTATCTGTTGGAGGTTTGGGTTGGATTGTTTGCACTGTGTTGTTGTTTAGTCTTGCACTGCGTCTATGTTTTGTTTAGTCTTAATTGTCTTATTCACACTATATCTGAAGTCTGCGTTTCCCTGTGTCAGTCCACACATTTCTGGTCATACCCGGATCCCTAACAGCTGTGAAGGTGAGTGTCTTTCTCTCTGCCGCCATGGGGGGGGGTGTTATTGGAAGGCTCTCTTGGTTGGGGGGGGGGATGGGGCCAGGTGTGTTGCTGATCACTGTCAGGTTCTCTCCGTGGTGGTGGGGGGATCGTTGTCAGGCTCTCTCTCTGCTGGGGAAGGGGCGTCTGATTTCTTTTGTTGCCTAGGGCAGCGCAAAACCTAAATACATCACTGTGTACTATCACAACTCTTGTATATCATACCATTTACCCATTTGTTTAGATTGAAATTACACCCTTTTATTGGTTTCATCCCCACTGGCTTTACATGGTTTGCAATATATATATATAAAATTATGAGCCTTTTTATCCAGAAATGTAACCTGTTTTTTATGGGTGTCTGGAATATTCTTCACTAGTCTAGTTCTAAGTCCTGGAGCTCTCCTGCAAATAAATTTTGGTCTGGTGGGTAGTACAGATGCAGTGCATGATCCCTCTGCAGTATAGGCCAGTGTATTTTTTAATTATATTCTTTTCTAGATCTTTAAATTGTCTGTTAAATGCTGTAATAAAATTTAAATCAAAATCTCTAGATTCGGCAGCCATAGCCACCAACATTTTGCTTCTATCTGTGTTTGCTACTAAATGTTTTGCATATTCTAATTCTTCCTCATGTATCCTTTTACCAGAAATCTATCAATGAGGAATTTGTCTTTTTCTTCATATTTTCATATATTGCCCCTTGGGCACTCCCCTAACCCATTTGGGGTGATGAGAGCTATTGGTTGGAGTGTATCCATTCTTGTCTGTTTCTTTATAAAATGTTTTTGTAACTATTTTACCTTAAAAATAGTAAAATCCAGAAAATCAACCTTTTACAGATCTCTATTATCAGTGAACATATTACTATATTGGTTGTTATTCATGTATTTTATAAAATCATTCAATTCAGGTTCAGTTCCCTCCCACACTATAAGGATGTCATCAGTAAATCTTTTAAATAGTTTTAACTGTGGCCAGTTACCTCCAAATATTTCTTCTTCCCACTTATTAACCACTTGCCATCCAGAGGATTTACCCCCCTTCCTGGCCAGGCCATTATTTGCTGCACGGCGCTACTTTACTTTAACTGACAATTGCACTATCATGCAACGCTGTACATAAATTAATTATATGTCCTTTTTTCTGACAAATAGAGCTTTCTTTTGGTGGTATTTGATCTGCATTTTAATTTTTTTTATTTTTTGTGCTATAAACAAAAAAAGACTGACAATTTTGAAAAAAAAAAACCAACAATATTTTTGACTTTTTTCTATAAAACATGTCCAATAAAAAAATTTATAAGATCAAATTTTGTCATAAATTTAGGCCAAAATGTATTCTGCTACATGTCTTTGCTAAAAAAAAATCCTAATAAGTGTAAATTAATTGGTTTACATGAAAGTTATAGTGTCTACAAATGGTGGTATATATATATATATATATATATATATATATATATATATATATATATATATATACACACACTGGATTTTTTTTTTATATTAGTAATGGCGGTGATCAGCAACTTATTGCGGGACTGCAGGACTGCAGCGGGCGATCTGACACTGACTAACTGCTACTGACATCCTCAGTGACAGTAATACAATGATCAGTGCTAATAAAAAGCACTGTACTAATGGCACTGGGCAGGAAGGGGTTAACATCTGGGGCGATCAAAGAGATAACTGTGTGCTGTTTTACATAATGTGCTGTGTATGTTTTACTAGGGAAACATGTTGCTGTGTATTTCTCTGCTGTCCAGAGAAATACACAGCAGCAAGTTCTTACTGGCAAGAGAGAGACCTGGCTGTTTACATATAGGTCTCTCCCTTGTCAGTGTTACACAGTTATCTCCAGTGCCGGCAGGGAATCTATGGCCCGGTGATTGACATCTGTAGCCACCAGTGGCAGCGTGGGTAGGGTAGTGTTCGTGCCCCCTAATTAGGGGGGGGGGGATTGTCTGAGTGCATGAAAATAACCACATTCAGCATCCTGGGTAATTCTAATAAAAAATACAGAACATAGTAAACAGCATGGCACATTGGTGCAAAGGCGGGACCAACAATGAATGCTGGAACACAGAAAAAGGAAGGGTGGGGTGGGGAGGTGGAGGTCAGTGCAGTTCCCTTGTAAACGACCAACAGACATGGCATCCAGAGTGGAAGGAAAACTATTATGTGGAAAACTTACAGAAGAGCAGAAAATACTGGTGACCAGTTGTAGCCAGCAAACAATTTGGCCTAATGCAGGCAGAAAAACTCACAGTACAGAGAACTGATGGAATGATCAGGTAGGAGGTCTAGCGGAGCTTTGACTTCTGCAGCTTGTACGGTTCCTCCTACAGGGTCTAGATGAAGTTTGTTGCCAGAGTTCCAGACATTGCGGGATTGAGCTGTTTAATCTCCAGTCTGGAAAGTCAGTTGGTGGGATGTCCAGTGTTTTCACAAAATGGGGCAGGTCATCATTGGTACGGAGAACTTTCTCATTCTGTGTAGCAGTCAGGAGAAAGGGGAAACCCCAGCGGTATTATACATTTACAGCAAGTAGAGTCTCCAGCAGAAGATGAACAGCCCATCGTTGAATGAGAGTTTTCTGAGACAAGTTGGGAAAGAGGGAAATCTGGGTGCCATCAAAGTAAATAAATGGCTTATTGCATGCTGCCTTCATGACTGCTTCTTTGTGTTATTTGCATATAACATCCCATAGTTTATACATGTCCTAAGGGACAGGGAGGAAGTTCTATAAACCCTATCCACCTTGATAGTATCCAGTGCAGAGTCAGCCATTAGTTGGCAAAACAGACCATGTATGGTGGGCAGCAGATCAGGGTCACAGGTCACCTCAAGTAGGCCTTGGATGTGAATGTTCTGTCTCCGGACCCAATTCTCATAATCATCTAGTTGGTCCAGCAAAGAGTTTAACCACTTGCCTACTTGGCACTCATACCCCCTTCTTTACCAGGCCAATTTTCAGCTTTCAGCGCTGTCGCACTTTGATTGACAATTGCATGTGTCTTGGAAATTCGCTTTAACGAATTTCTCCTTACCGTGAGTACTCGCAGTTGGATGCGCAGAAATCCCCCATAAAGCTGTGCGAATCTCGCTTACCACGACTGCAGCTAAACTACACGATTCCTGCCCATCCAACTACTTTTAGCTTCTGTTGAGATGTAGGTGATGGAGCTCCGTTACCCTAGAATGATCAAACGACACTCTCAGGATGATGGTTGAATTCACATAAAGGCCGGTTTCAGAATCAGCCCCTGGTTTTATTAAAAATACACACATGCCCCCCCACATGAATAAAGTCAATCCCCTCCCACCGAACAATGCAATGGGGAGTGCCTATACACAGGATGTACATTCCAATTGGAGCATAGCCTTTCCTATTATCTATCACTGGTCCTCCCCCATGAGTCTTCTGAGGTCAGCAGACTTCCTCCCCTTCCCCCCCATGAGCCATCTGAGGTCATATTTCATGTCCTACTAGCTTCTATTGGTATGTAAATTCTTTGTACAAGCATTCCCTAAAAATATCAGTCTGTACCTGGATGGGCCCGATACGATCTTTATTAAAACACATCCATCCAAGATACAGTTTCAAGTTGGTAATGGGTTGTAAGATATGCATAAGCCTACACGTGGAGTTCATACTGCTTGGCGCCTTGCGTTACGAAGCCCATGTGGTACTATGCTGCTGATATGTGGATACAGGCCCACGGTCTACTGCCAGCGACATTCGCATCGAATGCCGTGGTGGTATACACGCCGGTCTATAAGCGCAGATCTGCCATCTCATCCATTACCAAGCTGAGTACTGTAATACATACATTGTACATGCGCATGGCCCAATTGCAGCCTTCAGAGCTTTAATTAAGCCACACGAGAGACATATGAATAACACGAATATATGACACATTTAAAGTTCGACCAACAATACAAAATTTCCATGACACATGGTCATGCAAGATTGTACCCATATTAAATTTTTATCATTTTTTCTCACAAATAGAGCTTTCTTTTGGTGGCATTTAATTGCTGCTGGGCGCTTTACTTTTTGCGCTACAACCAAAAAATTGCAAAAAATTAAAAAATAAAAAAGTTTCTTTGTTTCTATTATAAAATTTTTCAAACAAGTAATTTTTCTCCTTCACTGATGTGCGTTGATGAGGGAGCACTGATGGGCACTAATAGGCGGCACTGATGGGCACTGATAGGCAGCACTAATGAGGTGGCACGGATAGGCGGCACTGATAGGCAGCACTAATGAGGTGTCATGGATAGGCGGCACTGATAGGTGGCGCTGATAGGCAGCACTGATAGGTGGCACTGACTGGCATCACTGCTGGGCACTGACTGGCGGCACTGCTAGGCATTGACTGGCTCAACTGCTGGGCACTGACTGGCACAACCACTGGGCACTGACTAGTGGCACTGACTGGCAGCACTGCTGGGCTGCACTGATGGGCACTGGTGGGTGGCACTGCTGGGCACAGGTAGGTGGCACTTCTGGGCACAGGTGTGTGGCACTGCTGGGTGGCACAGGTGGATGCACTGCTGGGCACAGGAGGGTGCACTGCTGGGCACAGGTGGGCGCACTGCTGGGCACAGGTGGGCGGAACTGGTGGGTGGCACTGCTGGGCACCAATCATCAGGGCACTGATCATCAGTGCCCTGATGATCGGTGCCGATCCCTGCTCTGACAACTGCCGGTTCTTGGCAGTACTATCCTCACGCTCTGACAGCGTGAGGAAAGTGCAGCCAAGAACCGGCAATTGCATTTCCCGGTGATCAGCGTGTCATTGGACATGGCTGATCACGTGGTAAAAGGCCGTTGTGATTGGCCTTTTACCACATCACGATATCAGCTGTGTCCGTAGGACACGGCAATCACAGAGATCCTAGGGGCGCGCAGGAGAGCGTGTTCTGGAAGGACATCATATGACGAACTCCCAGAACTGGCCGGCTGCAGTGTAGCCGTCATTCGGCTATCTGCGGTTCGCAAGTAGTTAAGACATACTCATGACACTTGGTAGTCTCTTGCATAACATTAACAGTCCGCATGAAATCATCATGGCCAGTCTCTAGGGCCTCCACTCTATATCCCAGTGCCACAGTGTCCTCCCTGAGCCCCTTTACAGCCTGCTTGCATGAAAGCTCCACAGCAGCGATAAGCTGTTGTATGTCTGCCTTGGTAAGGAGAGCTCTAATGTGTTCCCTGAGGTCCCAGTCAGCATCAGTGGCATTGAGCTCGGATGGGGATGAAAATCTGTCTGTCGAGCAGGTTGATAGCGGGGCACTGTATCTGCGCGGTTGCTGAGAGTGCAGGAGAGCAACCACTGTGAGCCGGTGGGGAGCCTCATGGGAGAGCTACCACTGTGAGCAGGTGGGGAGCCTCATGGGAGAGCTGCCAATGTGAGCCGGTGGGGAGCCTCATGGGAGAGCTGCCACTGTGAGCCGGTGGGGAGCCTCATGGGAGAGCTGCCACTGTGAGCCGGTGGGGAGCCTCATGGGAGAGCTGCCACTGTGAGCCGGTGGGGAGCCTCATGGGAGAGCTGCCACTGTGAGCCGGTTTGGAGCCTCATGGGAGAGCTGCCACTGTGAGCCGGTGGGGAGCCTCATGGGAGAGCTACCACTGTGAGCCGCTGGGGAGCCTCATGGGAGAGCTGCCATTGTGAGCCGGTGGGGAGCCTCATTGGAGAGCTGCCACTGTCAGCCGGTGGGGAGCCTCATGGGAGAGCTGCCACTGTCAGCCGGTGGTGAGCCTCATGGGAGAGCTACCACTTTGAGCCAATGGGGAGCCTCATGGGAGAGCTGCCACTGTGAGCCAGTGGGGAGCCTCATGGCTGAGTGCAATCTTGGGAGCAAGCTGGGAGCTGGCGTAGTAAAAGAAGATTGGAGCCTGCTCACACAAGATTTGCTGCTGCCAGGAGGTGCGGCATTTAGATGGCATGGGGGTAAACCTAGAGGCAGGCATACACTGCTGCAATGCTGTTTTGCCCAGGGAAAGATGGAGCTCAGAGCCCAAGGATCCTCATGCCATGTCAGTCAGGCCACACACCCCATATATTTATTTTTATACCAGTTGTTATGTCTGTTTTTATTATTGTAATAATAAAATATTGCTTTTTATACATATATGTGTGATGATGTTGATAGATGTGCCTGAAAAGCCCCACGTACCCAAATGTACATGTTCTTGCCATAAGAAACAAAGCTGGTAATTGTATAGAATGCACTGCAAGAGTAAAGGCTGCCAATTGTAAAGCACACATTGTAGACAATTGAATAGTGATACAGCAGAACTTTGTCGAATACAAACTGCATTTATCAGTCCAGTGCTGCTATGCTATGCTCTTACCGAAAGTATTATTTGACATTTCATTGTGTTTTTTTGTATTATCTGACATAATTATGCTCTCAATGGAGACCTGGTCCACACCTACACACTTGCTGAGGTTTGTCTTCATTAGCCTATTGGTTTCACGTGGGCTGCTGCTACTTTTTCTGGCACCAGCTGATGACGTCACTTCCAGTTTGATCTGGTTGTCCTCTGACTGCCCAAGCACCATTAGGTTGGTATATAAGGCACCTAATGAGAGTGTATTAACAGGCAGCGCTCTGAGAATGTCCAAAGCACCCTAGTGAAAGGAAATATCTTGTCCTGTGTGCTGAGCAGTCTTGTTTGGTGGATGGTTAGACCAACTTTTTTCAACCATGGTGCCCAGGCACCCTGGGGTGCCTTGAGGTTTCTTCAGGGGTGCCTTGAGCAGGGGCGGACTGACCATTTGTAAACTCGGGCACTGCCCGAGGGCCCGGGGTCAGTAGGGGGCCCCACGAGATGCCCCTGGTACCTTTTTCATAGGCTTTTTTGAGTTTGGGCAAGGACACAGGGGCCCCATGATCCCCTATTGCCCGGGGGCCCCATGAGTTGTCAGTCCGCCCTTGGCCTTGAGGTTTCTTCAGGGGTTCCTTGACAAAATGCTTAAAAATTGCCCAAAAATTGTATAAAAGCCAGTGGGTGGAACAAGCCTGCCTTTCAGTTACACAAAGCCACAGGTTTTCATTGTGCACCATTACCACCTTCTAGCCACTGGCATCCCAAAAACCAATGACACCATCAGTTAATAAGGAGGACAGCGGGCGCCTGCACAGTGCACAGCATCCTTGTTTGACCCTTCCCTGCCCCTCTCCGTCAGTTCTGGGGTTACATTAGCGCAGTGATGGAGAAAAACTGAGGGAGAGGAGAAACACTGGAATACTAATCAGTACCAGTGTGCAAAAGTGTATTTGATTGGTAAGAATAAATCACCTCTAATGTTGGGTGTCCTGCATGTGTGTATGTTGATGCATTATGTAAAACTTTTTTTTACATTTTTAGAATGGGGTGCCTCAAGGTTGTCCATAAATTTTAAAGGGAGCCTTGACTGAAAAACAGGTTGAGAAACACTGGGTTAGATGATGTATCTCTATGTACATTTCTGGGGATTTTCGATTTTAAATGGTATTTAGGAGACAATCTTCAGCTGTATGAAGGTAATTGCAACGTAAACAGTAACCTTTGCCCCGTGGATTAAAGTGCTCATGTGAGCTGGAGTTATTTTTTGTGGTTGCTTTCAGGGTTGTAGGAATATGCAAATTTTGAATTATTATTTTTTTTCCAGCCCCCTGGGCACTCCTATATATCTCATTCTGAAGATCGGACATTTTTCGGAGAGGAGTCTTGGCACCATATCACCGGGTTTTTTTTTCTCTTACAGCTGCCATGAGTGGTATATAGATAAGCATGGATGCTAAACTACTGATACTTATGTACTGATATATAGAATTATGTAAATTAAATGATTTTCTATTTAGTTAGGATCCAGTTACTGGAACGTGTCAAAAATGCACCATAAATGGAACAAAAACGTGCCTGCGGAAATTATTATTATACAGGATTTATATAGCGCCAACAGTTTGCTCAGCACTTTACAATATAACGGGAGACAATACAGCAACAATACAGTTCAATACAAGAGGGATAGGAGGGCCTGATCCTGGGAGCTTACAATAGGTGCTTACATTGATCAGCATCTACAACCACTAGTACTTCATACCCCATCTTATCTAAGAGACACTAAGCATGTCCTTAACTCGATCAAAGATATTTCCATCCCTCCATCCGCATTTCTGGTGACAGCGGATGTTGAGGCGTTGTATAGTAATATTAACCATAGGGATGGGATGACAGTTGCCAAACATTATCTCACTCACGAGAGTACATTACTCTCTCCACATGTTGATTTTATATTAGAACTTTTAAATTTTGCCATGTCTAGAAATTACATGTGGTTCGATAACAATTACTATTTGCAGGTCAAGGGGGTTGCCATGGGGGCAAAGTTTGCCCCCAGCCTGGCCAATCTGTTCATGTCCTACTGGGAGGAGGATAATATTTACGCTATGGACTGGCCGGAATTACTTTTTTACAAGCGGTACATAGATGACGTGCTTCTATTGGAATGGCACGGAGCAGTCCCTTATTAATTTTTTTACCACTCTCAATAACAATACAGTGAATATTAAATTGTCGTATAACTACAGTAACATTGAAATTGATTTTTTAGATCTTACTTTATTAAATTTTAATGGGCATATTACTACCAAATCCTTTTTTAAACCTACCGATCGTAATAGTTTTATCCCCCTTGGAAGCTGTCATCATCCTAGTTGGCTGGCGGGTATACCGAAAGGACAATTCCTCAGACTCAGGAGAAACTGTACCAGTATTGACACTTACCATATACAGGCCAACATTCTCAAGGAAAGATTCCTTGAAAAAGGTTATGACAGGGAGAATCTGAACGATATCATGGAATTAATAGCTAACACGGACAGATAAGAGTTATTAAGCACCCAAACTAAACCACCCAAAAATCTGGTCTGCCCATTTATCACGACATTTTCGGTCCAACACAGATCCATCAGACACATAATTAACAAAAAATGGGGGATCTTGAAGGCAGATTCCACTCTGGCTAAGATACTTCCTGAGAAACCTGAAGTTATTTTCCGCAAATCGACCACCTTGAGGGATAAAATAGCTCCTAATGTTGTTACTATGCCCACACACCACCTCCCATTTTGTTTAATTACATGGGTTTTTACCCATGTAATAAATGTATTGCCTGCAAGTGTAATGGTAAGAGGAAAAGAAGGATAGATACCTTCACCTCTAACCAAACCAAGAAATCTTATAACATCGACAAATTTATTTGCTGCAATAGCAGGTATGTTGTTTTACTTACTAGAATGCCCCTGCCTTAAGCAATACGTTGGGAGAACAACCAGGAGGCTTAGGGACCGCCTTCGTGAGCATGTCAATAACATAAAGAAGGGGTACAAGGAACACTCCTTGTCCCTCCATTACAGGAAACACCACCACAGAGATCCCACTAGTCTGAGATTTGTGGGCATAGATATAGTAACTTCACACTGGAGAGGAACTTTTAAAACCAGAGCCGTCTCACAATTAGAGACAAAACACATTTATGAACTGGATACTTTATACCCTGCAGGCCTGAACATCGAACTGGATGTCAACTGTTATATTGACAACAGTTGAGCCCGCGATGCTCAGCTAACCATGCTTATAATTTTCATCATGAGAATCATTTCCACATATTAGCTGGGTATTAGCTATGATTTTACTCCATGTTTTATATATGTATACATTATTTCGGCGGTTAGTATGCACACACATACTCAGGAATGGTTTAAGAGGATTGGATTAGGCCTTAATTTCTGCCTTCTCTACATTCATTGAGATAGTGTAATATGCATCTTTTGTCATTTGAGATATGCGGTTTTAATGATACTGGATTAGGCCTCAGTTTGGCTTTTCCATACTTAGCGGGTTAGTGCAATATGTATTATGATCCTTTTGCCTTTATGGCATACGTTTACGGTACATGCGTTTACTATTTTGATTTTTAAACATTTATGGTTTTAATCACTTCATATGTTTTTATTTTGATTAATTTCCGTGGGGTATGTATTTTAAGGACCCACTTATGCTGTTTTACTATGTTGGTTTTTTCCTTGTATATAGGAATATTTCTTATATATATGGCTTGATATATAATTTGACCAGTATTTTAATTTTTAATCATCATTTTATTTTTCATGCATTGGGGCTTATGAGTTTAATAGCCCCCCATACATGATACTAGTATACTTACCAGTACATATGTTATTCTTTGATTTGGTCATTTTACACCATTTAGTGCATGCTCCTAAATTTCCCCTCTCTCGTGCACTATATATTTGCATTGGATACCCCGTTGGTGGTGTTATCCTCATGGTATCTCACAATACTTAGCTGCTTCAGAGCATCAAAGAAGTTTGGCACCAGTAACTTTGTCTTTGACAGTGCTGGTTAATCGCATTACATGCCCATGGTAAAATGGCACCCGCGCATGCGCACTTGTGTAATACGGATGTCCACACTCTAGCAAGATGGCGCCGTACCAGTTACGGCTACGGTATATATACATGAGGAGACAGTCACGGCAGTCCTATGCTCTATCTCTGAAGAAGTGCGTGCGCACGAAACGCGTCAGATGGAGCCCAGGACGACGTTGACACTAAGCCGCCGGTGCCACGTGGAGGCCCGGTGGCCATTTTGATTTCTTAAGGAGTCAGTGTGTTCATTCATACTTGCCACTATTATGTTTACTATACACCTGTGTTTTCCAAATAAATCTTTACCTACTACACTATGAGTGCTTCCCTGTGTCTCCTGTGAGGAGCTTCTTCAACCCTTACAGCCCTAAGTGATCCCTGTGTCAGCTCCTGAGAAGGGGGAGGCTTATCTAGATTGATTCTTCTCTGACCTGCTGGACCATTCTTTCACCACATGAGGGCGTAGGATCTCCATCTTTCCCAGCTATTTCCATGACCAGACCAGAAAGGAGAGGGGAATCTTCAGGATATATATTCACATGCGTATTACTTATACACTTTCTGGTTAGTGTGTATTTCTACCATTCGCACTGGGAATCAAGGAGCACCTTTTTATTGGACTGTGTTTCATCATTTATTTCTTATGATCTTTTAACAGCGCTGCATTTTGTTTATATATGAATTTTGGGACTTTTTATGCGTTTTCCTTTAATGTTCAGCTGCTATAACTATTGAGAGCGCTTACTATATTTTGTATCATTCACTCCTATATATCTCATTCTGAAGATCGGACTTTTTTCGGAGAGGAGTCTTGGCACCATATCACCGGGTTTTTTTTCTCTTACAGCTGCCGTGAGTGGTATATAGACAAGCACGAATGCTAAACTACTGATGCATATGTACTGATATATAGAATTATGTAAATTAAATGATTTTCTATTTAGTTAGGATCCAGTTACTGGAACGTGTCAAAAATGCACCATAAATGGAACAAAAACGTGCCTGCGGAAATTATTATTATACAGGATTTATATAGCGCCAACAGTTTGCTCAGCACTTTACAATATAACGGGAGACAATACAGCAACAATACAGTTCAATACAAGAGGGATAGGAGGGCCCTGCTCCTTGGAGCTTACAATCTAAGAGGGAGAGGCTGGTGGTACAAAAGGTAATAACTGTGGGGGATGGAGTGATAGGAGGAATAGAAGATTCTGTTAGTAGCTGAAGGCAGGATAGGCTTCCCTGAAGAGATCGCCTAAAAGTGGGCAGAGTAGGCGATAGTCTGATAGATTGGGGTAGAGAGTTCCAGAGGTTGGGGGAGGCTCTGGAGAAGTCCTGGAAATGAGCATGGGGAGGAGAGACAAGGGAGCTAGAGAGCAGGAGGTCCTGGGAGGAGCGGAGAGGACTGTTTGGGTGATATTTGGAGACAAGATTGGTGATGTAATTTGGGGCAGAGTTATAAATGGTTTTATATGTGATTGTTAATGTTTTGAATTTTATTCGTT